GTGGATGACTTCGACGAGAGGAATACGCTACACGGGGAAAAGAGATGATGGGGGAAAGAAGAAAAGGAGCGACGGAGGATGGAATCGTAGACGACGCCCTTTTATACTCGTCGGGAAGGCCTGTCCGCAAGGAAGGAAAAAGCGCGTGATAACTTGAACGCGTCATGGACCATCACTCAGTGACGTACTCTGCGTGCCGTATTCCACTCCTTCACGAAAACTTCAATCCAGACGCCCAGAAATTATTTAAAGCAGGCATTTACCTAGAAAATAACCGCAAACGAAGCCAACGTTCTGAGCAAGTCATAACACGCCCAATCACATCACCAGAAAGCGCACTCCCGCCAGTGCAGCCACCACTGCAGTAGCGTCCTAGCTGTACTCCATCCTGAAGCCATGCCCACGACGATTCACGAACGAAAGGACATTTGCAATACCTCAAGGACGAGGTTCTTGCGCTGGTCATGAGATCGAGCAACGTTGTCCGAATGAACCTGGTCCCAGACAGAGACAAGGAAGTAAGGGAGAGAAACGGTTTGCGGAGATCGTGGACCCTTTTAGCGTGCGCATATTCGCAAATGCTCTCTCGAACATCGTGGACCCTGCAAAGCAGCAAATATTGAAGACTGGGCAGTTCGATGGGTGTCGCATCGCGGTCATTGTATTATCTTGTATTATGCCCAAATTATGCCAGTATTTGTCTGTGGTGCTGATAAGAAATTGGATCTTCAGCAGGCTCCCAGCAATGCCTATTGGTTGTTGAATGGTTGAAGTAATAGAACAGAAAGCCAGAGAGCTCAGATAAAGCTGAGATAAGACCTAGTATCGTTGTCTGAAACATGAACGTGAACGTTGAACCAATGCAACCCGGTGTTGCCGATCGGCGCTGGTAAGTTTCAAGCCGTGCAATCATGCCGAACAACAGCCACCGAATACTCAATTAGGTAAACCAGATGATCGAAAGTAATAAGTATGAAAATATTGTTTTCCAGAATTCGAGTCATAAATATATATTTTTATATTTGGTGCATGCACCGACTTTTTCGTGCTCTTCCTCTGACATCTAGGATTCCCCGATACGCGCCTCACACGCATATATACAATCCCGTATACCGAAAAATGGCTACAGAAGCAACTGGGACGCACAAAGACCCCGTTACAGGGGAGATGATCTCCAAGACGTTAGTGGATTTACCTTTTTTTCATTGCTGGTTCTGATTTGCGATAGGGAGCTCAAGCGCCGGGAAAAACAACGAGCAAAGGAAGCAAGCAAGGCAGCCAAGCCACCTCCACCTGCAGCTAAGGCTAAGGCGGAGAACAAGCCATCCGACGACGACCTCAACCCTAACGTGAGTGCCCATGTAGCTCGCTTCCTGTGCCATTGCTGATCAAAGTCCAGCAATACTATGAGCTTCGCTCGCGGCAAATTCAGGCTCTGAAGGCCAGCCAAAATCCCAATCCTTACCCACACAAGTTCAATGTAACATCCTCTATCACGTCGTACATCGATACATACGGCCCCGAAGGCAAGATTCCGTCTGGGACGAAGTTGGAGGGTACAACGGAAAGCCTTGCTGGCCGAATCCACAACATCCGTTCGAGTGGATCTAAGCTTGTCTTCTATGACCTGCATGGGGAGGGAAAGAAGGTTCAAGTTATGGCTACTCAACAGTGTGTATCAATTTTTTTCCCTGGCTGCCTCGATGTTTACTTTCGTTCAGAGATGCCTCCGATCCTTCTTCCTTTGAGGCTACACATGCCATCTTCAAGCGTGGCGACGTCGTCGGTGTCACCGGCACTCCATCACGCACCAAGAAGGGCGAGCTCAGTATCTCACCAAGCACCATGACTCTTCTCTCTCCAAACCTCCATCAGCTGCCTTCCTCCCACTTTGGTTTGAAGGACCAAGAGACCCGCTACCGAAAGCGTTATCTTGATCTCATCATCAGTGAAAATACGCGAAACATCTTTATCCGTCGCAGCAAGATCATCAACTACGTTCGTCGCTTCCTCGACGACCTAGGTTTCATGGAAGTCGAGACGCCGATCACCCAGATGAGTGCGGGAGGCGCTACGGCTAAGCCATTCGTCACCCACCATAACGACCTTGGCCTTGACCTGTTCCTTCGTATCGCGCCCGAGCTCTACCTCAAGGAGCTCGTCGTCGGTGGTCTCGACCGTGTCTATGAGATCGGACGCGTTTTCCGCAATGAGGGTATCGATATGACTCATAACCCCGAATTCACGATCTGTGAATTTTATATGGCATATGCGGACATGTATGACTTGATGGATATGACGGAGTCGCTTGTGGAAGGGATGGTCAAGTACCTCACCGGTGGAAGTACCAAGTTGGCATACCACCCTGACGGTAATAAAGGTGAAGAAGGTGCGAGGGTGTACGAGCTTGAATTCAAGAAGCCATGGAAGAGGTACGATATGATCGAGACGCTGGAAGAAAAGCTGGGCGTCAAGTTCCCTTCGGGTGATACTCTTCACACCGAAGAGGCGAACAAGTTCTTGAGGGCCCTTTGCGTTAAGGTCAGTGTTTGTGTTCAATCCATTCTACGCGTCCTGACGCGTCAAGTGTAGCACAATGTAGATTGCAGCGAGCCAAGGACAAACGCACGTCTGTTAGACAAGGTATAGCTGTCTCTTGTCAGCTGGATCTGGAAACTCATATTATCAAACCCAGCTCGTCGGAGAGTTTATCGAACCTCTCTGTATATCCCCAGCTTTCATTGGTACGTTGAACGGCTTGAATGATGTATGCCATATTTACATACTCCTTTCAGTTGGGCACCCTCAGGTGATGTCTCCTCTGGCCAAGTGGCACCGTTCGCGACCAGGTCTTTGCGAGCGTTTCGAAGCATTCCTATGCGGCAAGGAAATCTGTAATGCATACACCGAGTTGAATGATCCATTCGAGCAACGTTTAAGATTTGAGGAGCAGGTTAGCTGATAGCCCTGCATCATGGGATCGTACTTCTTCTGATGGCTTGCATGAACAGTCACGACAGAAGGAACAAGGCGATGACGAGGCCCAAGGTGTGGACGAGACTTTCATTGATGCGTATGTATTTCTTTATAGTTTGTTTGTCCAATGACAATTGCTCAAACCTTATTCACAGTCTCGAGCACGGTCTTCCGCCTACTGGTGGCTGGGGCATGGGCATCGACCGTCTGGTGATGTTCTTGACAGATTCTATAAGTCAGTTTACACCCTTTTTGTACTCAGGTGACAGGCGTCTGATCTTAGTGAATAGACATCAAGGAAGTTCTATTGTTCCCAGCTATGAAGCCGGACGTCACTGCAGGTGCAGCACCGGTTGTTGTACCTTAGAGAGTTTAAAAGGGGCGTATACGATATAACCAGATAGACATGATAATGACTGTTGTATCCATGCTCCATGTTGTGATTAGTACAATGTCGACAAGCTGGCGATTTCTCTTCCCCGAGATCTCAATACCGTATGTGCCCCTTTGGGAGACCTTAGACGCGCTTTCGCGAGATGATATACGAGGTTTGGTCCCTTCTGCCTTTCACATACTATCTTAACACTAGTCAAGGTCATCCGGACTTTCCTCCACAGCTAGTACGTACAGATTTGGATATACTTAAAACAGATATAATAGATATAATGAGATGACCTTAGCTTTCGCACCAATCACGCCAGCGCTCATTTACATAGTCACGCAACGATGGTCCGGAGCATTCCCACCCTGGGTCACGGCTAAGCGTTTCTCGATTTCGTCTAGACAGAGTTCAAATGCCCGGGCTAGAGAAAGACGGAACGTAGAGGAGAGGAAATTCAAAGACGCGGTGGAATGCGATCTACTCACCGACATTGACGTTGTTTTTTGAACTGGCCTCAGTGAATGCAGCATTGTTCGCTGCAGCTAATGCCTTCCCGTCTAACATGTCTACCTGACGGCTAGAATATACATGAGTTGTTTGTGAGAACCAGTGCCAAGTACGAAAAACGTACTTGTAATGAAGGTCACTCTTGGTGCCCACTATCACGCACGGTAATTCGGTGTTACCGCTGAAGTCGAGGAGCTTATCGTATACTATTTGTATCAAGTCGAACGATGCTCGAGACGTTATGGAATATACGAAGACATATCCATGGAAGCCGATGGCGTGCTGGACATTGAGCTGGGAATACTCATCCTACACATATACCTTCAATAAGCCAAGGGACACACGAAAGATTTTGGTGGCGCACCTGTCCAGCTGTGTCGTATATCTCACAAGCATACTCCTGCCCGTTGTGAACGACCACCTTAACGTAGGCTTTCTCAATCGTTGGGTAATATGACTGGGGAAACTCGTTCTCCACGAACTGCTTCACGAGTGAAGACTTGCCTGCAGGACGAAAAAGCCAGAATGAGCGCCGTCCTTCAAACGGGTCCTCGATAGGATAACGCACCGACAGAACGAGTCCCAAGAACCGCAATTTTTCTTCGTTTTTGCATGCTACAGGTGAGAGTTTTGATGGCAAAATATTTCACAATAAGAAAAGAGGGGGAAACAGTGTGATCATGGGTTGTCGAGATAAAAGGCCTATAAGAAATTTGTTCAGACCGACTCACATGTCCAAACTGTGTCCGACATTTTGTATTTCACTTTTTAGGGAATTTTAGCCCCGATTATGCCTAATTTGGCCGTTATGCGCCGGAGCCGCTAATTAGGCCTAACGAGACGAAAGTTCTTTACGATAAGATAACTGATTTGATCCCTAATAAACCCCCCCATCAACCTAATTAGTCCTGCCGCTCGGCGAGCCGAAAAATAACAACCGAGACTCACTTTGTAGCTATTACTCCGTTCTAGGCCTTTAGGGTCATGACAATTAGACATCGGATCCACCGGGGATTGAACACAAGGGTACAGAAATCATTACGAACAAATACAAATAATAATACAACACAAAGACAAGGTAACCATTAGACCATATAGTATATACTTGTTTATGCATTTTGAGTTACTTTGTAATGCTAGCAGTAGTGACACCCATTTAGTTCAACTAACCTCGAGCCTTTTTTTTCTGCGAAAAATGGACAGGTAACATGCATATATTCAAGAACAATGCAGCTATTGGAAAGGATTTTGGGTGTACATGACAGGACTACAGGGAAGGAAAGGACGGGAAGGTATCGCCGCTGTTGGATGTCACAGCCTGACCTTCACCCTACTCGCTCACTCCTCTTCCTGCACCTTGTCGGCCCTCTGTGCGTCCTCCACGGCAGGGAACTGCCCGCCTGCCTACGCCCCGTCATTGCGGAGTCGGTCATCCTTGCACTCTTGCCGCCCACGCGTCGTTGTTGCCTATGTCGTTGTTGTTGTCGTTGCCTCTGCCTCCTGCGGTAGCTACCCACTCAGATGATGACGGTTTGGCAATGGTCTTGTGTACTTGGCATTGTCTCAGGCATCAAGCGTCACTTGCACAGCGTGCAACCTCATTCGAGGGCTTACGCGTGGTGGATCGACACTGCTGGGCTTGCCGATGTTGGGACCACAGGACAGCAAGGTATTTAGTGAATATATTAGTGGTACAGATCAATAAGACGCACCTGCAACCCATAAATACGCCATACAGGCCAACAAGAAGGTATACCACACAACGACGGTGGGGGGAAAAGCGAAGCGCAGTTATCTGATCTCTTATTACATATTCGGAGAATAATAAAGGTGTAATATTCATCCCGTAATTATATCGGGCCGGATTATTTTGCAAATACCCTAATTAGGTATTTGCACAATCTCCGACATGGGCCGCTCGGGCAAGCGTGACATAACGGTTACGTAAAATTGCGTGATCTAGATCGGGCGATCGAACGCGGTTTGCTTCTTTTCCTCCGAGTCTGTTCAACTGTAAACTGTGTTTGACTGGTGCACATTGACTGGGTGACTGCTCAGTACCCTAAAACAGTCTAACTCTCCTGGATGTCCGTTTGCATTTTCTCTCGATATTTCGACGTGCGTAAATCCTCTTTCCTATTGAGTTCGTATTTCGAACTCCACCAGTAACGTATTACCCTGGTTGGAGGAGCTGTAGAAGCAAGGTGTGAATGATGCCAGGTGTTCCCAATATCTTTCTTCGACCTTCTGGACCCTTGACTCGGCTGCACTTGCCTCAAAACATGAGACGTTTTCCGATCCCGCTACCACCGGCTTTTGGAATCGGTTGCTGCAATCGCGACACGTTGGTTAAACTCGCTGAGTTTTACAAAGTAGTTGTCTACTCAGCTTGCTTACCTTTGCTAGAACATAGTCGTACGTCCAAATCCACACGAAGAGGCGAAACGATCCACTGCGCAGGTTACGCAGGCTAGAACTGGATTTCCCGTCCACTGTCTTGCGTTCTGGAGTAAATGCGCCTCAAGGCGCAGCCACAGGTCAGGCGGATGACCCAAGGGAGTGTCATACTATCAACGTTGCATAACGATTCCCCAAAACATTTTGTTGGATGGTATATCTCGACGTGGCCATGGACATCTGACCTCAGTACGCCGAACCGCCTCCTCAGCTATCCAATCATCACTCGTTCTTACCTGCTTCGAGACTCTTCTTCTACCTTCCATCGTTGCCCTCGACATTAATTCGACAGCGCAATCTGCCGGACAATGGGAATTTGTAAGTCGGAATTCTCCAGACTGGCACAAACGTTCAACTATCGTTCACAGTCAAGTGGCACTGAGGACCGCCGCGGCAACGCGTCTTGCAGGCAATTTGAAAACTGGTCGTGTGCTGGGAAATCCGGAAGTTCCCGTCGACTGATGCAGTTATCCGATACCAGTACCCTCCAGTACCTGAATTGCTCTTTCTTTATCTTTCTCGACCGCGTTGAACCTTCCCCTATCCTTGTTCTACCACACGGTCCGTCTCTCCTGGACTAGAACTGATCAGAACTACAGCCTGCCCTGCCCAGATACGTACCTAATCAACTGTGCATCAGTCCCGACACCTGGGAATTCTTTACAGCGAATATTTCGGCCGCGCGGACAAGTTGGCCAGGATGAAGATCCCGCCTGTCTGATACGTGGCAAGTGTTCATTGGGTTCTTTCAAGGCGCGTTTCATCGGGGCTCCAAATTTATCCTTCTATGTTCGGTATCTATACGAGGTCACTTGTTCTGTCAGGTCCGAGCGACCCTTCGGAATTGTAATTCCAAAAGTGTCCACTCGTTTCCTTTGGTCTATGTCGTAGATTCCACTGGGTTCAGCGACACATGTCTGTACTTCGTCGTGTACACTGTCTTTTCCATAACAGTCTTCTCCAGATCTACGTCGCCTTTTGATCTTTTCTTGTACGAGTCAGGTTTTCGATGGGTGGTGTGCCCAGTAATCCATAGGTTTATTGCGGAATACACTGTTCTCGGTCAATAGGATATCAATTGGAAGATCGCCTGGATCTGAAAGGGACGCCAGGGGGTGTCGGGACCGTGGTGTCAGCAGATCATTGAGCCTCGACCTTGTCAGGTTTGTGGAAGACTGCATAGTACAGACGCACTGACTGTAAGAGCAGGATTCTTGCAAGCATAGTGATCCCGTGCGGGAACTTCGGTCAACAACGGTAAGTAACGAACCGGTCAGTTATCATCTACCGCCGGACGGTTTACTAAAAGAAATGATACTAGTCTTCGAAAAATTCGAAATATGGCAGACAAATAATGTCGATGAACCCTGATCTGAGCGTCACATAAAGGAGTCTATAAATACATCTAGTCCCCTAAGTGCGCTTCATGTGATGACGACGCCAAGAAAAAATCCCGCTTTGATAATTGATGACGGCGGAGGGGTAGGTATGGAAGGCATTGCAGCGTCGGAAATAGAGGCTCAAAGTGTGGCGCAGACAGCAGACTGAGAAACTTCGTCGATGGAAGCGAGTGGAAACATCCCGCCTCCCCAGCAATAGATTTGCTGTCATTCTGGAGTATAAGGCCTTGACTGGCCTTGAATCTAGAGCTTGTGAAGCGGAAGTTGACAACTTGGTAGACTCGGAGGCACTGCACACGACACAGGAATGCGTGGAGACGGTCGAAGTCAGCCTAAGAATCTATATCATTCCCCAACGGCATTAATAGTAACCCATCTTGTATTGCGACTGGTAGAAAAAGACTTGGCATGATACGATCAATTCCTCCTGACTACTGTCACGTTAAGAACGGGCCACAGGCTACGCCATAATCTGCTAAGAATTATTATTTCTTCCTCTTTACGAGTAAGCAGGTATTCTTTACGAGAAAAATGTGTCTACGGAGGTAGATCACTCATCGCGGAAACACAAAAGGAAAGAAGCTCGGATCAAAAGGTGGGCAGGCGACATGACCGACGGGCCCCGAATTTGGTAACATATTTGAAACTCCGCACTTAGAAGGTATTGCATCACCGTTCCTTCTCTATCTTCTTCCTCTTTTCCATCCATCTGCCTTCTGGGTGGCGAGGCCGTAGCGCGTCGTATTCCTCTTCGTCTCTGGCGTCGTATTCACTCTTTTGTCTGGTCAGATGTTGTATCTGACGTCGGACCTATTTCCTATCTGTACGTGGCTGGAATTGCTCGTTGACGTTGAACTCATGTTTTCTCAGTTGTACCATTTGGGCTCATTGGGTATGCCTTTGTGGCCTTTGAAATACACAGTTTCTAACTTTCAGACAGATTCTATCGTTATTTCTGGTATCTCATCCGTTTCTCTGCCTTCATTGTCTACCGCCCCGTTCCCCTTCCCGAAAATCCGACATATATCGCTTCTGAAGATGTTACCATTATCGTGCCGACAATAGATGCAGGGGAGGAGTTCAAGGACGCGGCGCGCAGTTGGCTTGTTGGCAACCCCAAAGAAATTCTCATCATCACCGAAGAGAAAATGCTTGGCCCGTTACAAGAACTCGCTAATGCTGTCGACCCTTCCCGAATACGCGTTCTCACGGTGCCATTCGCTAATAAGCGATTGCAGATGAGCCATGGCATTAAAAACACCACCACCGACATCATAGTCTTCGCTGACGACGATGCAATATGGCCTCCCACGTTACTTCCCTACGTCCTCGCCTGCTTCGAAGATCAGAAAGTCGGCGGCGTCGGTACCAGTCAGAGGGTACAAGCTGTTGGTTCCAAGATGACGGTATGGGAAGTCCTCGCTGCCTTTCGGCTCACAATCCGTAATATCGAGATCTCTTCTTCCACGCACATCGACGGTGGCATTCCTTGTCTATCAGGTCGAACAGCCGCTTACCGGACCATCATTCTCAAGGACCCAGAGTTTCTCCACGGCTTCACACATGACTATTGGTTAGGGAAGTACCAGCTCAACTCAGGCGATGACAAGTTCCTGACGCGATGGATGGTGAGCCATGGATGGAGCACGTACGTGCAATGCTGCAAGGAGGCCGAGTTGCTCAGCACAATGAAGCCAAACTGGCGGTTCCTGAAGCAAGTCTTGAGATGGACTAGGAACACATGGCGTTCTGATCTCCGGAGCCTTTTCACCGAGCGATATATCTGGACATCGCATCCATATGTGGCTTATACCATGGTGGGTCTATTCTTTGTCCTTTCCGTAAGATGCTGTATTAATGCTATACCATAGGTAGACAAGCTCTTCAATCCTTTCACGCTACTGGTTGGTCCATGCCTAGTAGCATATGTTATCTACAAGAGTACTATACCAGTCGACGAAGGGGGATATCATTTACCGTGGTGGTACGTGATCGATCCTGCGGCCCTATGTCACAATTAACTGGGGACCCCTGCAGGAACGTTCTTGTTTCGTACATCGTTTGGCTGTTCGCAACACGAACGGCAAAGCTCCTTCCGCATCTCTGGTACAATCCAGGACACATCATATACGTGCCGGCCTTCATTGTCTTTGGCTACTATTTCGCAATAATGAAGCTTTATGCTCTCTGTACGCTTCACGAGGTTCGTATTCAACACCTACGACAGCAAAAATGTACTCATGTCACTTTCAGACCGGCTGGGGTACCCGCTCAGGCATTGGCGACAATTTCTGCTGCGACTGCGGCTGTCGATGCAGGCTCACGATCCGACGAGAAAACCACCGAGGCTTATTCAATACAACCGGTAGCTCAGCCGCAGTCGCCTTTCAACGACGAGTACGCGGCTGATATGGCTTATAGCAAGTCAGAACGGCGGCGTCCAGAATATGAAGAGCCTACATACGCTCGGTGATAACGGAAAGCGGTGTGGGTGCGGAGTAATGCCCTTCGTTCTTTCTGTCATCTCTGTTCTCTTGTCATACATACGTTACTTCGTAGACTTCGTCCTACCTTTCCGCCTTGTTCGTCACGTCTTTCTCGTTTACGTCCTCGAACTGTCACGTTCTACAGTATACCCTACTAAGTATTGCACGCAAACCGGCATCAGCATCATGGACTTTGTATATCTATTTTTTCTCTCATCTCTGGCGACACCTACAATCATACATTTGCCGCATTCTCGATAGTTCCTACACAGTGTTCTTATAATCAATACATTACGAATTCGGCGCTACTCAGCCGCCATTGACGATCGTTGCGAAAAAGGCTTGGATGACAGGCGAACGAAGTCGAAGAGCATCTCCGTTGCCAAGGCTCTCTTGGCTTTAGCGAGACCCACTTCGGAAGAGAGGGAAGGGCGTTACGTGGGAAGATATAACCTAGGATCATGCCATC